ATGAAACCTGTTCAGCAGACCAACAATCTGCAGGTCATCTATGAATCTAATCACAGGTCATTTTCCTGTTCTGCTACAGAAATGATCCCTATTAGTGCCAACTGTATGTGTGCTGAACTAGTGAGGTTACAAAGTAAGGTGGGTGTAAAGAGGATTTGAAGATTTGTCCATTCATTTGAATGGAAATAAAAAAGTAATAACAAGTTAAATATTTTAAAAAGTTTAAAAGCTACAGAATGAACAGTAATAGTGGTGTAGTCTTAAAAAGCTGCATGTTTGGATACCAGAACAGTTTCTGGAGAACAAAGTGTGCAGGAGAAACTCCAGTGTGAATGCTGACAGACAAACACACTGGTTCTTATATCAGTCTGAGCACTCAAAGCACTTTATACAACTAAGGAGCTTGGAAAGAAAAGCGTCTGGACTTCTTTAAGTTGCTTGAAGATGTTTCACCTCTCATCTGAGAAGCTTTTTGCCATAGCTGTCCTGGTGCACACTTTTTTTCTTAGGCGCACCTGCATAAAAGTTAGGCAAGAGGGACAAAACCTGCATCTCAGAATCTAGCGCAAAAAAGACATAAACACAAAGCACAAACCCGACGCAGAAACAGCGAGCTGTCAGCTTTCAGCCCCGACGGCGCGTCCGTGTGCGGGCTGTTGAGTGAGAAAGCCGAGAAAGAGAAAGCTGATTCTGATACGTCGGGTCTGTGTTTACGTCTTTGTGCAGAATCTGTTTATTTGCTCTCATTTGCTGTTTGGTGGTTGTTGAAATAGTTTTTGAGCTTTATTGCTTCATTCAAGCTACTCACCTTTCTCTTCCACCTGCACTTTCAACTGGACCACGGCCAGTCAGAGAGGTCCCGCCCCTGACTATCTCTGATTGGTTTAGACCACGATAGGGGCATAATGTGTGTCTGTTGTTGACCACACGGAGACTTTTTTTTTGCAGAGACTTTTCTTATTTTCTTTACTCAAACAATTGGTCGCACTGGTGCAACCTGGGATTTATGACCAAATTGGTCGCACTCTGGAGCCCTGCTCCAAGGGGGACAGTGGACCCCCTATTGATCCTCTTCCTAATCAAATGAGCCAAGGTGTGAAGATGGGTGTGGGTCACAGTCAGCCATGGTTTAAGGTGAGCTCATTGTGAAACCTAGCTCCACCCTATCATGTGATTACCTGAGGTCAGATGACCCAGGATGTGAGTGGGCGTTAAGGCGTCTGGGGAGGGAACTCAAAACTGGATTATAGATGGCAGACAGTTGGTGTCGTAAACCACTGCCTCTGTTCAAAGATGGTCGCTCACAGTGGACATAGATGCTTCTTTTTTTCCCTTCCAAGCTCCTTAGACCCTTACGATGTAACTACAGCCCAGCCCATGCAGCAGAATATTAATGACTAACCTCGTATTGTGGATGGATTATCTCAGTTGTTCTCCTGACTGAAGTTCAGTCCGTTTACAGCATCCTGCCATGTGATTGCGTTTGTCCCTGACCATCAGGAACCCTCATGTTAACTTTTATTAAGTCCTCAGTTC